TTCTTCACTTATTTCACCAAATTCACTCAAAAACCTGCACAAAAAACTCAAAAAGCAATAAACCGTCCAGCTCTTAATTTCTGAAAATTATAAACAAAAAGGCCATGATTTCAAGCTAGTTCTAAGTCTAAAGGTTGTCTTTAGTATCACTTTTAAAGCAATGAAAATAAACAGTTTTTCACCTGTTATCATGTCCCAAAATGATCTCCAAAATTTTTCCTACAATCAATGATGAAAATAATTAGCTCAGATAATTCAAATTAATTATGAATAAGAATTTCTGGTCAAATTAAACATAATTAGCAAAAATGGAAAAATACTGAACATTTAAGCACAATAAGCTAAGTGAAGTCAAGAAAATATTGACTCATCAAAATACACCACACTTAGTCTTTTGCACTCTTGGGAAAAATCAAGATGCAAATCAACGAATAGTTCAAAGGACAATAGGGAAGTGGACACAAACTCAACACACAGAAAAACAAAGGACTAACAAGGACCGAAACATAATACACAGTTCTCAAGGAATCTGGACAAAGAAAGGAAGTAGACAGTACCCAACACAGAATGAATCAAAGAAAGCAGATACTCATGAAATCATCCAAGCAAATTTAAGCATGGTAAAATGATCAATCAGCTCAAGAGATGAATCAAAACTAACAAAACCTCACAGATGCACTATCAATGTTTCTCTCAAGTGTCTAGGGTAAATAATGTCAACTCAATGCACTCAAGAAAGCAAACACAAATAGACTTGCCAAGCCTCTAATATCAACACTCAAAACATCTGCATGCTCAAATCAAAAGGTCTTTTCATGGTTGTAATGGGGTTAAGGACAAGGGAGGATAAAATATGGATGAGAAGCTACAAACCAAAAGAAATAGAGGAGCAATGGGGAACAAGTGTAAACATAGTCAAATCACACCCAAACCTCTAATTCAAACCTATCTTGACTCCAATATTACAAACATTTTTTTTTTCTCCATTTTTTGTATATTTTTTTTTCCTTTTCTCATCTTGTCTCGTTTTTGTTTCTCTATTAGACTCAACTGTAAGGACAAAGAATAAATCATATTTTCCAAAAACAAAACAGAAGAGGAACCAACTAGCCAAGTAATCAGAATCCCCAAGGAGACCACACTTGTTCCCAAGACACTTCCAAAGCTCCAAAATTCCCTAAGGTTAAGGTAATCATGGCTTTTCACTTATGGCTAGTGTATGAGCTTGAAAACAAAGAAGGGGAAAGTATAGGCTCAAAAGGGGTATCAAAGAATTAGAACAAGGTAGGCTTATTGGATAGAGAGGCTCAAGAACAAATCTGCCTTCATCACTTCCAAACATGCATATCAATTAAGAATTATCAACAAGAGTCAAGCCAAGGCATATGTGCAAGCAATCAGAGACATTATCACCACACAAGAAAAACATAAAGTGGCTCAAATCAACACAGGGTATTTGTCACAATCAAATCAACTCTCAAACATCATTAATCATCTTAAGGAGAGAAAAGCAAGGATTTCAAACCAATAAGTATCAATCAAGTGAAGGAAAGGATATGTCTACAACCTAAACAAAGTCCAAAAACCAAGAGAAACAGGCAAAACTGTACACAAGACACAACAAAAAAAAAACTACCTAGAAAACAAGACCTAAACAAAGAAAAATTTCCCCTAATAGACCACATTTAAACTACACAATGTCCTCAGTGTGTCACAATCATCAGATTAAAACAATCAGAATAGTCAAAAGATACAGACAAATGCAATAAAGTTGAGGAGGGGAAGGAGAAAAGAGAACTCCCTGAGTCAGAGGAAAAAGAGGTAGGGTCGACCAAAGACGTCTCCTCCACCACTACGTCAAACAAAGAAGGATTGCTGAGGAAAGGCTTCAGTTTATGCCCATTAACTTTGAAGCTTTCAGGCGGAGGGACCTTGGATATAACTGCACCATAAGGATAAACATTAGATCACAACAAAAGGTCCAGTCCACTTTGATCTCAGCTTAACCCCCATGAGTCCGAGCCTAGAGTTATTACAATAAAACTTGTTGGCCACCTCGAAGTTCCTTTTAACAATAGAACTATCATGCGAACTTCTTGTCCTTTCCTGTAGAAACTTTAAGTTCTCATAGCCTCATCGGTCTCTCCAATTCATTCAGTTGTAACTTCTTTCCTCTCCAGCTGGTCCATGGAGATAGTTTGCAAGACTTCACAGCCCAGTATGCCCGATGCTCAATCTCAACTGGTAGACGACATGCCTTTCCAAAGACAACCCGGTAGGGAGACATCCCTATCGGTGCTTTATAGGCAGTCCTGTGGGCCCAAAGAGCATCGTCCAACCTATTGCTCCAATCTTTCCTATTGGGCTGGACAATCTTCTCTAAAATCCGCTTAATCTCCCTGTTTGAGATCTCTGCTTGCCCATTTGTTTGGGGGTGGCAAGGTGTAGAGACTCTATGTACCACCCCATACTTCTTTAGCAAGGCTTGCATTGATCTGTTACAAAAATGGGTTCCTTGATCACTAACAATTGCTCGGGGCACTCCAAACCTGCAATAGAGGTGAGATCTAACAAAATCCACAACAACCTGAGCATCGTTAGTTTTGGTGGCTCTAGCTTCCACCCATTTTGAAACATAATCCACAGCAAGGAGAATATAGGAGAAACCAAAAGAAACAGGAAAGGGACCCATGAAATCTATACCCCAGACATCAAATACCTCACAGAACAACATGGGCTGTTGAGGCATCTGTTGTTTCCATGAAAGTGATCCTCCTGCTCTCTAACATGGCTCGCAGGTGCTGCAAATCCTCTCAGCATCTTTAAAGGTGGAGGGCCAATAGAAACCACAATCTAACACCCTACGAGCCGTTCTTTGAATTCCCAAATGACCACCAGGTGAGGAAGCGTGACAAAACTGTAGGACCGAGTTCAATCTCATGGTCCGGAATGCATCTTCTTGTAACCTGATCACTGCACAACTTCCACAGATATGGGTCATCCCAAATGTAATACTTAGCATCGCTTTTAATTTTAGCCATTTGAGCATGCGATGCTAAAGGAGGAAAAACAGAGAAGCAACCAAAATAATAACAATATTTGCAAAACCAAGGGGATAGGGTAAGAAAGTGAAACGTCAATAAGCTTTCATAGGAAAGTTATCCTGGATAGGCAAAACATCGGCTTCATCCTCAGCCCTCTCAATCTTGCTGAGGTGGTCTGCAACAAATTTTGTGCTCATTCCAGTCTTGGATTTGCAGGTCAAATTCTTGGAGTAGGAGCATCCCACCTAATCAATCTAGGCTTCGAACTCAGCCTCTTCAATATAAACTTTAGAGCTGCATGGTCAGTGAAAACAGTGATAGTAGAACCAAGCAAATAAGATCTAAATTTATCAAGAGCGAAAACAAATGGCTAAGAGCCTTTCTCAGTGGTGGTGTAGTTTGCTTGGGTAGCATCCAAAGTCCTGGAAGCGTAGTAGATCACTCGAGGCAACTTATCAATCTTTTGTGTCACGACAACCTCCAATGCATAATTGGATGCTTCACACATAAGCTCAAAAGGGGCTGTCCAATCTGGTGCCTGGATGATCAAAGTGGTGGTCAAAGCTTCCTTCAGGCGATCAAAAGCCTGTTTGCATTTGTCATCAAAGTCAAACTCAATGTCTTTCTGCAACAGTTTGGACAAGGGAAACACTTTCTTGTTGAAATCCTTGATGAAGCGCCTATAGAAACATGCATGCCCAAGAAAAGATCGAACCTCTCGCACGCAAGAGGGGTAAGGCAATTGCAAAATCACATATATTTTTGCAAGATCTACCTATATTCCCTTGCTAGAAATGATATGCCCTAGAACCAAACCTTGTTCTACCATAAAATGACATTTCTCAAAATTTAGAACAAGGTTAGTATCAATACATCTTTGCAAAACCTTTTTCAAACTGTCTAAACATGTATCAAAAATGAGGATCCATATACAGTAAAAATCATCCATGAACACCCTCTATTCAACTTTCAAGAAAATCGCTAAAAATGCTAAGCATGCACCGCTGGAAGGTACCAGGGGCATTGCATAGGCCAAATGGCATCCTCCTATAGGCAAAAGTGCCAAAGGGGCAGGTGAACGTGGTTTTCTTAGTCCTCAGGAGCAATATTGATTTGAAAATAGCCAGAAAATCCATCAAGAAAGCAATAATGAGATTTACCTATCAGGCGCTCCCACATTGATCAATGAATGGAAGGGGGAAGGAAATGATCTTCCTGGTTGCCGATTGAGCCTCCTATTAATCAATGCAGACTTTCTCCCCTGTTCTGCACTCTAGAGGAATCAACTCATCCTTTGCATTCTTTATAATAGTGAGGCCAGTCTTCTTGGGAACAACATGGATTGGGCTCACCCATTGACTATCTGGGGTAGATGATCCCAGCTTGCAGAAGCTTAGTCACCTCCTTCTTGATGAAATCCATAATCAAGGGGTTTTGCCTTCATTGTGGCTGCCTAACCGGCTTTGCTCCCTCTTCTAAAAGAATTCTGTGTATACAAGTAGATGGACTGATGCCAGGTATGTCAGCTAATGTCCAACCAATGGCCCTCTTGTGCTTTCTCAGCACACTCAGCAACTTCCCTCTTGAACAACACAGGGAGGTGGAAAATGATCAAGGGTTCTTGTCAGCATCACTCCAAGTAAAGCTTACTTGCGGTTATCTGGAAGCTATTTCAACTCAGAGTAGGTGTTTGCAAGTCAGATTCATTTGTACTCCCTGCAAAGTGGTTAGTGCATTCTGACTCTAAAGAATTTACGTGTGAGGGCAGAACACCCATCTCATCAGACTCCAAACCAATATCCATGACAATTACATCATCAATATCAAGAACATCATCAACGTCATGGATAACAAAATCATCATCAACATCAACATCATTCTCAAATTCAGATTTAATGCATGTGTGTAGAGAGGATAGAAAAGAATGCTCTTTCTTATGCAAAGAATCAAAACTCATCAACACTCATATTTATCAATAATGTCATCCAACATGTCAATCTTAAAAACAGAATGGTCCTCAGGTGGGAACTTCATTGCATCAAGAATATTAAAGTGAACCATAATATCAGCAAATTCCATGGATAAAGTTCCAGCATACACATCAATCTTGGTTTGGGCAGTTTTCAAAAAAGGCCTGCCTAAGATGATGGGAGCGGATCCATGAGAGAATCCCTCCTCCATTTCCAAAACATAAAAGTCTGCAGGAAAAATCATTTCACCAACCTTAACCAAGACATCTTCTATGTAACCTGTTGGGTGGGTAACACTCTTGTTGGCCATCTGAATGACCATACCTGTAGGTTGTAAAGGTCCTATAGATAATGATTTATATATTGATTTAGGCATGACATTAATTGAAGCACCCAAATCAAGCATGGCATTTTCAAATTTACTATTTCCAATCATACAAGGAATGCAAAACGTACCTGGGTCCTTGCACTTTTCAGGTATGTGCGGGACTGACGTACCAATAAGTGCGAATACATTCCTACCCATGTTGATCCTTTCATCACCTTTCATTTTCCTCTTATGTGTGCACAGCTCCTTCAAGAATTTTGCATACTTCGGAATCTGTTTGATTGCATCAAGTAGAAGTATGTTTACCTCTACCTTCCTGAAGGTTTCCAATATTTCCTTGTCCACCTCTTCCATCTTTTTGCTAGGTATTGCCTTTGGAGGAACGGGAAGAGGGATAGGTCGCTGAGGTAACGTAGGAGATGCACTGGTGGTAGTGGTGGAAGAAGAAGGTCCACCTGGAGAAGAAGTACAACCACCGGAAGAGGAAGAAGGTCCACCTGCTTCAAATGTTCTGCTTGGACCAGCCTAGTCCTCTTTTCTGAGAAAAGTAGCAGGTGTGGGAGTAGGCTCTGTGGGCACAACAATCTGCTTCCCCGATCTAAGGGTAATGGCACTCACATTCCTCGAATTTTGCACAGTCTGGGATGGTAACTTATCAGAATTTTGTGATTGTGCCTTATTGAGCTGTGTTGCCATCTGACCTATCTGATTAGTAAGATTCTGAATAGAAGCTCTAGTTTCTTGTTGAAATTGCATATTCTGAGCTCTGGTTTCCTGCTGCAACTGCATATTTTAAGCTCTGGTTTCCTGCTGAAACTGCATATTTTGAGCTCTGTTTTCCTGCTGAAACTGCATATTCTGAGCAATCATCTGTCTCAACATTTCCTCTAATGAAAGCTCAGAAGAAGAAATAGGAGGTTGAGGAGCTGGCTGGGTAGGAATCTCTTGCTGCTGTTGCCTCTGATATCTCTGAAGATGTGGAGGTACATATGGTTTATTACTTGTAACATTCTGGAAATGTGGTGGTTGCTGCTGTTGTTGTGAATTATTGGACCATCTAAGATTTGGGTGATTCTTCCACCCTGGGTTATATCTGTTCCTGGACATGTCATAATTTTGCTGTTGTGGTTGCCTGTTGCTTTGTATGTTTGCAGCATGGGCTGGAGGTGCATCATGGCCAATAGGTTGCTGCAAAGCAGGGCAGTCATCTGTATGGTGATCACTGGAAATACATATACCACACAGTCGTGCAACATATGCAAATGGAGATGTTGGTCTCTGATTTAAAGCCATCTACGCCACCAAATTCGCAAGAGAATCAAGCTTGCTTTCCAATTTCCTATCAGCAGATGATGAAGACTGGGTAGCAATATCATGTACTCCCCTCACCACAATGGTGTCACTTCTGGTGCTAAATTGTTGGGAGTTGGAAGCCATCTTTTCAATCAAGT